TAAAAACACAAGAATGGTACAAATAAATGGGGCACCCTGTGATGTTTCCAAATGTGTATACATGGTAAAATTTATGTATCTCTTTAAACATCACTTTTTTCAGGTAAAAACTTTCAAAATCTTTACTTGTAACTTAAAAATTTTTATTTATTTATTTGCTTATTTATTTATTTATTTATTCATTCATTCATTCATTTATTGAGTTTATGGAGGTCAGAGGATAACTTGAGGTAATCAGTTCTCTCCCTCCACCATAAGGGCTTGGAATCAGGTTTGGTGGCCATATGTATACCTTTCCTGCTAAGCCAGCTCACTGGTCCTAGCATCTTGCCATTGAAACCATAACTTGACAGTTATTGGATTTATTTTCTGGTATTGAGGATTCATCCCAGTGCTGTTAGCCACTGAGATGCCTCCCAGCTGTAATTTTGTTTGAGGAAGGTCTAATGGCTTGAACTTCCTGTGTAGCTGAGGATGACCTTGTACTTCCGATCCTTTTACCTCCATTTTCTGAGAGCTTTGATGATAGGTGAGTGCCACCACGCCTGACTGATGTGGTGCTGGGCATGAAACCCAAGGCCCTGTAAATGCTAGGCAAGCACTCTACTAACAGGTACATTTCCAGTCTTGTAGCTTTTTAATATACAGTACATAGTTGCTATCTGTAGTCACCCACTAGGCAATGTGAAACCAGACTTCATTCTCCTGTCTGACTACAATTCAGTATCCAACTGAGCAATCACTTTAGGGCGTTTTTATTACTGCCAAAAGAAATTCTTGTGTCCTTCAACAATTGCCCCATTTTAAAATGATATATTCACTAAAATGATATAGCCACTATAATGTCTAAAAACTTTCTGTTCAGCAACTTGTCAGAGTCTACAAAGCTTGGGAAACAAAACTGCAGAAACAGAAAGCCTCAGTCTGAAAAGACACTAAAGACAAGAAAACACAAGCCAGCGCAGCAGCCTCATGAATACCAAGACACAGTCCATTTAAACCGTGGGCGCTTTGCTGTTAGATGTGGGTGAACATGGACTTCCGCTTTCTTCCACTGAGGTGTTCCTGAGTTTGCCTGTCATGGATAAGAGCTATGTGCAATGCTGATTGGATAAACCTCTGGTCGTACTGTGGCCAGGCAAGAAAAATTGAAACCAGTTTTGTAGCTTTCTGTCTTCCATCCTTCACAGAGAGGCACACTGGGTGGAATCTAGTCAGATGACTCAGGGCCTCATGGGCACTCTTGGAAACTTCTTAAATTTTTGTTTTAATCCACAAAGGTAAATTGGGTGAATTATATTTGATGACTTTAAACGCAGCTGCTGGGGAGCTTTGGATATGCTGACAACATTTCAGATGTGGTTAATGAATGAATATTTTCATTTGCTTCTTAGTTCTGTAACTTTTTCATGCCTATTTTAGACTTAGAAAAATATCATTTGAAAAGGATTAATGAGGCTGGGGATGTGGTTGAGTTAGAAGAGCACTGACCTAGCATGTCGAAAGCTCTGGGTTCAATCTCCAGCACCCCATAAAACCAGGCATGGTGGCACATGCTTGTAATTTCAGCACGGGGGAGGTGGGAGCAGGAGGATCAGGAATTCAAGATCATCTTTGACTCCACAGTGAATTCAAACGCAGCCTAGAATTTACTCCTATTCATGTTTCATTTGCATTTTTAAAAAAATTTGTATTGGGTCTGAAGAGATGGCTCAGTGGCTAAGGGCACTGGCTGCTCTTGCAGAGGGCTTAGTTTCAAATCCCAGCACCCACATGGTGTCTAACAACCATCTGTAATTCCAGTTCCAGGGGATTCGATACCCTCTTCTGACCTACACAGGCATTTTAAGACATCGGTGCACTTACATTCATGCAGGCAATACACTCATACACATAAAATAATAAAAATATTTAAAAATTTTAATTTTTATGTAAATGAGTGGTTAGCTTGCTTGTACCTAAGTGCACCAGTGCATGTAATGCCTGTGGAGGCCAGGAACGGCGTTGGATCTCCTGGATCTGGAGCTATGGATGGCTGTTAGCCACCAGGTGGGTGCTGGGAAGTGAATTGCAAGAGTGGCCAGTGCTCTTTGAGCCATCTCACCAGCCCATTCATTTCCACTTGTTTTTTTTTTTTTTTTTTGAGACTGGGTCTCCCTGGGCCCCAGCTAGACTGGAACTCAGTATGTAGACCAGGCCGGCCTCAATCTCACAGGGATCCACCTGCCTCTGCCTCCTGAGTGCTGGGACTGAAGGCATACACTACCACACCTCGTTTCATTACCATTTTTAAAGAAAGCAAGACTGTATGTCCATAAAAATGTGGCTACATAGTAACTTTAAGGCCAGCAGGGGCTACCCTGTTTGTGCTCATGTTTTTTTTTTGTCGTTTTTTTTGTTTTGTTTTGTTTTGTTTTTTTGTCTTTTTGAGACAGGGTCTCCCGGTAGCCTAGCTGACCTGGAATTGCTCTGTAGACCAGGCTGGTCTCGAAATCACAGAGATTGGCCTGCCTCTGCCTCTGCTGGGACTAAAGGTGTGTGTCACCATGCCCAGCATGTGCTCATATTTTAACACTTAAGTACTTTTATTTTAAAATCAGCTACTTTCAAAAACCAGATAGGCCACATGATATCATAAAAGAGCTCAAGAAGGCTCCCCTGCATCAGGAGACTTAGCTCCTGGCAAGGCAAATGTGTGATCATTACCATAGAGCATTTTTGACAATGCTTGGGAACATCTTGGGAAATTTAACTTGAATGCAAATAGGATTCCATGAGGTTAGCACTGGCTTTCCCCTGCTTGTGGCCCTCTTTGGAAATTAAGAAGCTATTTACAACCTGGATGCTTACAGAAAGTACTTCTGAGAGATATAAAAAATTATTTTAGTCCGGCGTGGTGGCTCATGCCTTTAATCCCAGCACTCGGGAGGCAGAGGCAGGCAGATCTCTGAGTTCAAGGCCAGCCTGGTCTACATAGTGAGTTCTAGGCCAGCTGCGGCTACAGGGAGACTCTCTTTAAAAAAGACCAAAAAAAAATTATTTTAGTAAAATATTTTGCATTTCCTGGGCATCACAAATAACGAAGCAATCTGATCTAAACGATGAAGCCCAGCCCCAGGACAGGCAGTGAAGCACTGCCAGCTGCAGGCTTCCTGCCTGGCACTTAGAAATAGTACCAGGGAATGAAAGGAGCCTCTCATCACAGGAAGTACTCAGAGAAGAGACAGAGCTACAATTGTATGCAACTCATAACTTAAAAAAAGCAGCTTGGGCCAAAGAGACTGATTTGGGAAAACCCATGGGTGGGAAACCCATGTTTCCACCCTCTGTGGTTATGGTAGTAACCAGGGCACAGACTAGATTTGTGCTGTGTTGAGATTCTGCACTGTTATTTTAATATTTTATTATTTTTAATTTTATTTTATGTGTATGCATGTAATGCCTGTATGTAGGTAAAGTGCACCAGTGTCATGCAGTGCCCGTGGAGGACAGAAGAGGCCGTCAGATCCCCTGGAACTGGAGTTACTGACAGTTGTTAGCTGCCATATGAATGCTGGGATTCTAATCCAGGTCTTCTGTAAGAAAAGCCAGTGTTCTTAACCACTGAGCCATCTCTCCAGCCCCCAAATTCTGCACTATTATTTTTCCTTATGGGCCATGGGTAGGTAATTTTGGATTTGGGTTTATGATGAAGCCAAGGGCTTCATCAACTATCAGGATGCAGGCAAACCATTTGGACCATTGTGATGGCCACCTAACTGCTGTTCCTGTATCCATTGCTACTTCCCTCATCTGAATCAATAAAGCAGCCAGTTATCTTTCTAAAAGGAAAATTATCTCAAATCTCTTTACTGCAAACTGCCTAGCTTCAGAGACTTCTATTAGCTTAATCCCCTCTCAAATCCTTATTATGACCTACAAAGGCCATCAAGAACTCTGCGGCCTCTTTCACATAGTCATCTACATCAGCTGTCCCTTGACCGTATCAAGCATCTTCCCATCTTGGGAGTCTTAAGACTTATTTTTTTCTTCCTGTAAGGTGATTTTAAATTAGAATCGACCCCACTAGCAATTTTAAAGAAACTTTTCTCCTTTTAAAAAAGGAAATAGGACATGGTGTGTAAAAAAATTATCTATATTTAGGAAATGTAATGCTGTCTCATTGACCAAAAGACAAAAACCCACATCACCATTTCCCTAGCTCTTGTTGCAAAACTAACTGACAAAACTGATGTGAAATGAGGAAGACCGGCACAATTTTTCTTTTTTAATCCCGGGGAGTAAGAGATTTTTCCATTTCATCTGATTCCATTGTCTGTAAATTCAGCTTACAAAAATTTCAATACAAATAATCATAGACCCACATATTCAAAACCCATACATCAACACTCCCTTGAACTCAACAGAATTTTCATGTGCTGTAAGCTCTTTCACAACCACCACATAGTTTTTAACATCATTCCAAGTCACATGAAACCACACTTTGTGAAACTTAAGTTTTAGATGACTTTGCAAGTTACTGTTTAAAGGACTAACATGTTGCATCACAATGAACAGCCCTCTCCCTGGAAAACCACAGGGACAAAAGATGGAATTCAGACTTGACAACTTCAAGATGATTTCTTCAAAATTTTGTGAAAACACGTGTCTATTAGTTTTATGCACCCCATGGGGAAATGGCATAAGGAGGTAAAATATACAAGTTCGAGAGACCTACAGACTTTGACAAAGGGACACTGATTGGAGAGTTAAGAGACAGTGACTGGTGAAAGTAGGGGAGTTCGTAAGAAAAACACTGAAGCTGGGTGTGGTGGCTCACACCTGAAATCAGTTTATGCCACGGTGAAATCAGTCTTAAGAAACCAAAAACCGAGCTGGAGAGATGGCTCAGCAGTTAAGAACACTGGTTGTTCTTGCAAAAGAGCCAGGTTCGAATCCCAGCGCCCACATGGCAGCTAACAACTGTCTATAACTCCAGTCCCAGGGGATCTAACAGCCTCCTCTGTCCTCTGAGGGCACTGCACAACATGGGTGCACTTACCTACATGCAGGCAATACACGCATACACATAAAATAAAAATAATTTTAGAAAATTAAAAAAAAAGAAAAGAAACCAAAAACCACTCACATGTCTCAGCCAAACAACAAATGAGAAAATGTATATTTAAATTTAAATACTGTGTAAACTGTAAAAGTACACATGTGAGCTTCTACTTGTTTAGACACGTAAATGTGAGCTATGTACAATTTGGATTATGCTGAAAATTGTTTTACATATAAGAAAACAAAAATCAGGCCACCCCCCCAAAAAAGAGCAATGAGCATTCTATTATTTTTAAGGAAAAAAAGTCACAAGCACATGAAAACCTTGTTTTTAAACAAATAGACAAATCAGTAAATGCTGTTTGTAAAGGCCGCAAATAAATAATTTCTTCTTCATTTATTAGGTAAATAACTGTTGGTAGATTCAAAGGCTGAGGAAATGAACTTCCTAACAACTAATGCCATTTTTACTTCAGCAAAATTTGAATTTCAAACCTAAGACATGCCCTTGAAGACATGAAAAAGCCTAATATCAAGAAATTACATGTCATAAAGTTTATAAAGGACGTATGCAAAGAAAAATATAGTTGATTCAATTAAGATCATTTGGGCTCTAAGCAAAAATCAGTTACAACATAACTTTTTATAGCTCAAGAGAGACCTGTAAAGGGAGAAAATAGAGGACAAAAGAATGAAATTAATCAACGAAGCTTAGGGCCCCAACACATTATTTGTTAGTCTCCCATTTCCAGGAGTACAAGTTTGCAAAGTCATTATCAAGCAGTTCTCAAACTATGAATCCCTTTTTTTGGGGAATATTTTCATATATAACCTAGGTCTTAACCTTGAGATCCTGCCTCAAGATCTACAATGCTAGGACTACAGGCATAAACCACAATGCCCTTTAAAAAATATTGAGACAGGGTCTTATTCTGCAATCCAAGTTGGCTTGGAACTTTATTATGAAGTCCAGGCTGACCTTGAACTCAAAGAAACCCCCTGCCTTAGCCTCCCTGGCACTTGGATTATGGACGTGTCATTACATCCTGCCTCAGAAGGAACCTAGAAAAAGATCTGGCATCAGTATGAGGTGGGTAACTTACAGTTGTATAATCTGGACAAATTACTGCAGCTCTGTGGGCCTGTTTCTGCATCTGTTAAGTCTCCAGAAGAACACTCATTTCTTAGAGCTATAGAGGGGCTCAAATGAGAACCTATTTGATAAGAGTCTTCAACTCTGACCCCAACTTAAGGTTGAAGAATGACCACAGCAATGTTGATGTCTGGTTCCTATCTCATACATGCTGACTGAATTGCTCTAGGTTGACCCTCAGCACTGGGTTTCAATGCTCCTCAGAAGAGTCTAATGTGCAGTTACTCCTGAAAACCACAGGCCTACTTTGATTGTAGTGCTTTTTAAAGTATCCTGGAGGATTACTTGGGGAGCCTGCCAAAATGCAGGTCTGGATTCAAGCAAGCGCCAGCCCTGAGAGTCTGCATCTCTACTAGGCTCAGACTATGCAGAGCTGCTCTCAGTCCCACTCTGAGAATAGTAAATAAAGTACTAAATGGCCACAAAACACACCTTGATAGTCGTCTACTCTGTTCAGACAACTTTTACTGGTTGTGGCTTGTGCTTTGGCAAATGACTTTCTTTCCTTGTTCTCAGGGCTGTAATTAAGAACAGTATATATATAAACCCAGGTATAGTGTTAATACTCCTGTAAGCCCAACACTGAGGCTGAGGCCAGCCTTGACTACACAGTGAGACCTTGTCTCACAAACTAAAGACCCAAACAACAGCAAAAAGATTTAAAAAACCACAGTGATTATATAATACATATAAAACATATGCCTTGGGTCATCTGTTAAGGGAACATTACTTACAATTACAAGCACACCCAGTTACTATGGTACCACTGCTCCCCGCACTCATTACAGATGACATAGGTCATTTGTTCATCTGGGTTTGAATTCCGCACCCAACCTGGAAGGAAAAGCGTTCCTCTGGCAATTACAGTGATCTTGCAATTGTATTTCTCACAGCGCCTGCACTTTATCTTATTTGTCAGTGTGCCATCAATGTTGTAGGGAAGAGAGTGTTCCTGGATACTGCATTCTGTGTAGGCCGCTCTCAACTGCTTCAGTTCCTGGTTTGCCATCTCCAGGGCAGTCATTTCAGCAAATTGTCTTGCAGACATGGCGCCAGAGAGCAAGTTTTGCTGTAAATGAGAATTTTTGGGGTTCCTCAAGTTAGCCACTTTGCTTCTGATACAAGTTTTATATTTTCTGATGTTGTTTGAATAAAGGATGAAAATGTGCTCTTCAATCTCTTTTGCAAAGTTCTGCCACAAATGAGCTTTTGCTTGATCTGTGGAGGAACTAGCTAACGCTGCGTAAAGCAGCTCTACACATTTCATTCTCACAGACACCGTGGGATCCTGCAACTCACTTGATCTCTTGCGAGTGGCTTCAGAGTTATCACTACCCAAATGTTCTCCATTCAGCTCCATCCGAGCAGTGCTATTTTCAGACTCAGTCACTTCAACGGGCTTTGCGGCATCCTGGGATGACAGCATTGAGAGAGAACTGCAGAGACCTAAGATCTCATCCTGACTCAGGTCCTGAGAAAGAGCCGCATTTTCTTGTTTGTTGGCACTTGACGGGAATAATTTAAGGCTGTCCCTTGGTTTGAAGTGTGTGCTTTTATAAAAAGTTCTCCACTTCGCCAGCAAACACTTGGCTTTCTTTTTCAGAGCCACTGAGGGGCAGTTTTTGAGGACTCTGTACACAGCCCTGACCACATCCGTCTCCTGGAGATGCTCCTTAGACACATAAATCATTTCTAGCTCAGTAAGGTATTTGCCAATATCCTCAAAATACCTTTTAGACATCAGTTGCTCAATCAGGAAAGCCCTGGCAACGATCTGCTTTTTGTCAGACATCTTTACAGCTGCAAAGAGAAAAAGAAGGATCGGTTTTCTTAAGCTGCCTTTGCTTGTTGCAGCTCTTGGATAGTGAACTAGAACTTTCTGCCAGATATCTATGCAATGTTTTCTGAAGGAGTAATATAATATAAACGGGTGTGGCAGATTAGATAACACAATCTGTAACTTGGACTGGTTTACTTTCAAGACTTTTATTCTCCATAGCTGAAGACAAAAAACGGCACCGCAAAGTTTCAGAATTAACATTCAGAGTCTTGCTAGGTAAGTTGAAACTTTTTCCATCTCCGACTGTACAAATCAGTACCATTCTAGAGCAAGATTAGTCAGGAGTCAGGTGTGGTGGTACATGCCTGTAATCTCAGTACTTGGGAGGGAGAGTAAGAAAGATCAGGAATTTGATGTCATCCCTGGCTATATAGAGTTTGAGGCCAGCCTGGGATGCAAAACACCCTGTCTCAAATAAAAAAAAATAGTTCTTCCTGGATAGAATTTAATGTTGATGCTGGGAATAAAATCATGCCCACGTCGGTATCCATATGGCAACAATGAACAAATACTAGGGTATTTTTTCTTCATGCTCATCTGCACAACTGAAATGCTTAATGCTCTTATAATCTATAAAAGGGTACTTTTCTTAATATAAAATAAAAGGAAGCAAAAGGGGGATGTTAATGTCTGTAGCAATTTAAAGAAACTACAGGTTTTAGTTTAAAGAAACTACAGGTGAGATACTACAGGTTAGGAGGCAGCCCAATCTTGGTCTGGTGGGCCGCAAAAGCCAACAGAATGCGCCGTACTGACATCTGAACTGTTGGAAAAAAACAGGATCATAATCCAGACGATGTATGACATTGAAGTTTGGCTTCGTTAACTATTTTTTGTGTATGTGCATGTCTATATGTGTGCCTGTGGAGACCAGGGGTGGATATCAGGTGTCTTCCTCCATGATGTACCTTTTGAGACAGGCTCTCTAACTGAATCTAGGATTCACTGATTTGCCTAGGCTGGCTGGCCAATGAACGCCAGGGATCCTCCTGTCTCCATGTCTTCAGTGTGGGGGTGGGGATTACCTACATGCATCACCATGCTTGGCTTTTTTTTTTTTAAGGACTCAGGTCCTTATGTGGAAATACTAGTATTCTGAATTGTGCAACTTTTCTGTAAATCTAAAAGTATTTCCAAATAAAAAGATTTTGGGCACCCGCCTTTAATCCCAGCACGTGGAAGGCAGAGGCAGGCAGATCTCTATGAGATCTAGGCCAGCCTGGTCTACATAATGAGTTCCATGCCAACTGGGGCTACAGGGAGACTGGGTCTCAAAAAGACAAAACAAAACAAATCAAAACAAAACCAAAAAAATAGCCTATGGCACATTGTTAGGATGATTTAACATAATATAATTTTAAAAAACATGTTTTTAGAGAATATTTAATGGCATGAGAAAACAGTCACAACATAATGTTCGGTGAAAAAGATCAGGATGTAAACCTAAATAGACAAGAGATTAAATGTCATGTTAGCAACTGGGTGTGGTGGCACATACTTGTAATTCTAGCACTAGGGAAGAGGAGGTAGGAGGATCAAGAGTTCAAGGCCAGCCTCTGCTACAAAGCAAATTTGAGGCCAGCCCAGATGACATGAGACCATCTCAAAACAACGACAACAAAAATCAAGTTAAAGGGGCTGAGGCTGTAGATCAGTTGCTAGAGTGCTTGCCTAATTAATACCAATGTACCCCTGAGTTTGATTTCCAGCCCTGTATAAACTGAGCATGGTGGTACACACCTGTAATTTCAGCACTGGGGAGGTGAACACAGAAGACTCAGGAGTTAAAATCATTCTCAGGTACACAGTAAGTTTCAGGTCAGTCTGGGGTACATGTGATCATGTCTTAAAAAAAAAAAACCAAAATAAAACTTAAGTTCAAGTATGATCCAGCAGATCCAAAGATAATTGAAAAGTATGTCCACACAAAAAAATGGACACAAATCTTTATAGCATTATTCAGAACAGCCAAGTGGGAAAACAAATGTTCACCAACTCATAGATAAATATTGTAGTACATTCACATACAACTTTCTCAGTAACAGAAGGAATAAAGTACTGATTTATGACACACTGTGGAAGAACCTTGAGGACATTATGCTAAGAAACAGAAACCAGATACAAAAGACCACATACAGGGGCTAGAAAGATGGCTCAGTGGTTAAGACCACTGACTGCTCTTGCAGAGGAGCCGGGTTCAATTCCCAGAACCCACATGGCAGCTACGAACCATCCTTAACTCCAGTTTCAGGGGAATCCAAAGCCCTCTTCTGACGTCCCCAGCATTGCATGACACAGGTGTACTCACATACATGCAGGCAATACACTCATACACATAAAATAAAAATAAAGAAAATATTAAAAAAAATAAAGACCACATACTATATGATTTACACAAACTGCCCAAAACAGGCAAATCTACACAGAATGAAGATTAGTAGTTGACTACATGGGAGGGGGGAGAAAAAGGGGAGTGCCTACTAATTGGTGCAAGTTTTTTCTTGGGGTAGGTGGCAAATATCTTCTGTAGTTGATTATGGTGACACGTTACACAACCACGAATTAAATACACTAAAACCACTGAACTGTACTTTAAAAAACGTGAACCGTATTTGAATCAGATATGAATAAAGCTGTTAATCTTTTTTTAAAAATATTTTATTATTTTTATTTTATGTGTATGAGTGTTATACCTGCATGTAAGTAAGTGCACCCGTGTCGTGCAATGCCCAAGGAGAACAGAAGAGTCGGTCATGATACCCTGGAACTGGAGTGACGGACAGTCTTTAGCTGCCATGTGGGTGCTGGGATTCGAACCCAGGTCTTCCGAAAGAACAGTCCGTGTTCTTAACCGCTGAGTCATCTCTGCAGCCCCGAATCATCCTCTCTTATTCCCTTCTCCCAGCCCCTTCTTCCCAACAAATCCCCACTGCCCCTTTCTTTATTGCTTTCACCTGACTCATGGTACTTTATTAGTGAATTCAGCAAGACGTTCTCTAATTTTCCTGCTTAAAGTCCTACAGAAATTCTCCATTCTTGAGATGGAGCCCAGGCTCCTTAGCGAGGAGATGAAAAGCCCCTCATCCTGGCCTTCTACCTTGACTACTCTCAACCACAGATAGGCAAGACCCCATTTCACAGCTCTGTGCCTTTGCTCCAGCAGCTCCAGAGCTTGCACCATGCTATAGCCCCAGGCCGAATACTGGAATCACCCGAGGAAATCAAACAAGAAAAACTAAAGCAAACAACTCCAGGGCCTCAGCCCTCCAGGTCCTCACCCCTGATAGAATGAATTGGCATCTCTAAGGGTAGGGCTTGGGCATTTGTTCAGTTTCACAGAAGATTATGATTTAAAGCACACACAGGCACTGCCCCACACCACAGATAGACTGCTATTAGCACTGATAGACAGCTATGGTTCTTTTCCTGGACCAAATGCACAGAACCTCTCTGATTCCAGACGTTGCTAGATGAGACCAATTAAATGAGAAAATATTAAAAACATTACTGTGTATAATTCAAGGGAGAAACTCCAGATTCCTGATATACACTGGCATACTTACCTCTCAACAGTGGGAGGCAATGTCCGCTGACTGAGCAAGTCTGTCTGCGATTCATCCTCATGCCATCTCAATATGCTCAATAAGCTGAGGATAGGAATTCCACCATTCAAGTGATAAACCTGCTTAAAAAAAATCAAATAATTGCAGTGTTTTTTTCATGATGTTTACCACATTTAAAAACATTTCTGTCATGCTGTATGCCTTTATTCGCAGCCCTTGGGAGGCAGAGGCAGGTGGATCTCTGTGAATTCGAAGCCAGCCTGGCCTACATAGTGAGTTCCAGGTCAGCTGGGGCTACAGGGAGGTGCTGTCTCCAAAACAAAGAAAAATACCAAACAAAATAAACCATTTTTATTTACCCTCTCTACAAGGCAGCAAGAATTGCAGGTGTTCTGTTCACTTGGCCCTACCTGCTGGGCACCTTATTCAAGAGATATTTTCTTCTGTTAAGTGATAAGCATCCAGACGTTTTCTCTTCCTTGGATTGTGATCTTCACTTCTTGTCACTAGGTACCAACCTTCTTGTGCTCGCTGTACCTAAGTCTAGTGACCTTTAGCTTCTTTCCTGGAAAACAAAGTCTGTCTCAATTCTAGTTTTAAAAAATTGAAAAATCCTAGATCATGAACGGGGATGAGGAGAAAGAGATCTGCAGGGAGGGAGGGAAGAAGGGGACAGAAAGAGAGAGAGAGAGAGAGAGAGAGAGAGAGAGAGAGAGAG